CATCTATTTGTTTCAATTTCATATCTAATTTATATCCCACTGGGATGACAGACAAACGACAGATGGACAACAAAGTGACTATACATAAAACGTATTATCCGTGTTTTAAATATCGACACGTTTGGTCGCGATACATAGACCTCTAATAATAAATATATAAGTACTTTTATTATATCTCATGTAAATTAAGTATTATTATTAAAATTTTCTAAAAAGTTGAAATTATAAATTCGTATTATAATAAGAAAGATAAAAGTCACAACATTATCGGATTTTTTTTTTACACAAATACTACATAATTCTAACTTTGCTTACTTAACATAATTTAGGGAAATTAAAATATACAGAATGCATTTATGAAAGTTATTGTCTAAATCTCCGCGTACCGTACTGCTAATAAGTAAGAACATAATAATAATGAAAAAAAAATATGTGTTCAACAAAATTGTATATTTTGTTTCTATTGTTATACATAAAAAATGTAAATAGTGCTTTTCTTATAATTTTATTTTAAGCAATTTCTAAATGTTGTAGGATATCAGGAGTAAAATTATTAATACGTGTTTAACTAACATTACATGACGTGAATATAAATGCATGTTCAAATGGTTCCTGTTGAAAAGCAAATGATTAAACCGACAAGTGTTGAAATTCGCGAATGTAACGATCACCTATTTCTTTATACGGAATAAAACTGATGACGTCAAATTATTGTATATAGAATGTTTAAGAAATGCTTTTTAAAAGTTACGCCTATTCCTGGTACATATTTTGTAAATGGTACATAGTGGATCAAAAACCATTAGTTAAATGCCTTGTTTCTATGTTTATTCTCATTTTTTGATAATTTGATTATCATTACTTTTTTGATAGTGTTAATATATATTTCAGACATTAAACATAATTAACCTTTAAGCAAAAGTATTTCAGGGATATTTATACGCACTTATAGATGCATCGAATAAAGACATAAGAATCGTTGATGTCAGCTTACAGCAACTTACTTAATAAATATGTGACTGGAAATGATATAAATTAAATTCCTTACTTACATGAATTTTCGCCACAATTTCACTGTATATTTCGCAGCGCAAAGCGAGAGCCTTGCGCGCACGCATCCCTCGCTTGCCCGTTACATTTTCGATAAAAAAAATATCTACTCCCGTACCGTATCATAAATATATAAATATTTTAGGATCGACCGCTCGCGATCTAAGCACGCCTCGTCTACCCATTGACGTATTCGTTTCGAACTAATTTCGGTGCAGCGACTATTCCGCGTTTCTGTAAACACCGCACTGGCGGTGACATGCGTCCGGATAAAGCTGAACTGCCACGCGCCTGAAACATCTTCGTTTTCGTCCTGGAGGCGACTGGACGGGGGATACGGGGCGGGTCAATTTAAGCTGGTCGATTCACAGTCTTACAAAATAAAAACTGCTGCTGCGTTAACGCTTAACGCACGGGATTAAAAACCATTTTTGCTGAGTGGAGCGCTCGGAAGAAAACTTTGTACGCAATAAGTTCTGTTTTGGGCACACCGTGAGTCAGCCGCCATGAGGAAATGCGTGCAAGTTATAATTTCGGAGCAGCCGACATTGTTTAATGCTTTTATAAATCTAACCTGCGCCAGTCTCCATTCAAGGTACACGAAGAGAATTGTTCTTAAAAGAAGAAGACGTCTAAGCATACGGTTTGTTTATGAATACATTTCCTTCCGGAATCAGTTTTGATAATAATGGCAACAGGTTAATGATTCCAACAGCGCACAAAATATATTATGATATACTGTATAAATAGATATATATGTAATGTTTCTGCAAGCCAAGGAGTGGAAAAATGGCCATTAGCCAAAGTCAATCTTGTGTGATAAATTCAATGAAATGATTTTAGGTAAGTACAGTGTTAGGGATGCGGGTTTGCAAGAAAATCTATAAGATTGTTTTAAACGTTTTCCAGTTAAATTCATTATAATTCTCTTAATATTTAATGAAAAACTTTTTAACTTTTCATTTATAGAATTTTGAGATAAAAAGATTTTTAATTTTTAGTAAATATCGCCCACTGAACAAATATTTTAAATAATTATGAAATGCTTTTAACTTTATTTTTTATGAAAGATTTAGTACGGTAGTAGTTGTTGATATTGGTATTTATGATAATTTGTTAAAAATTAAAATGCAACGTAAGAAGTCTCCTTCTATTTCTAAACATTACAGACAAAATTACGAGAATACAAGGGTATTTTAGTAGATTTATTTTTGCTGGTGACAATGTTGCTGTCACATATAAACTAACCGGTGAATGACATTCGTAAAGTATCATAATATGATGATTGACATGAAGTATGGCTGCCCTTACTCTTTCTATTTTAAACAAGAGTATTAAAATTAAAAACTTTGACTAGTAGATTTTAAAATTGAAACTAAATCAACTATATCAAAAATAATGTACGGTCATCAAGTACTTGTTATAACAAAAAAAACCGATAACATGGAAACACCATTAGGGGAATCGGTTACTTTTATACCAGTAAAAAGTTGTGTGCAGTGTGAATAGAAGAATTCAAACGGTGCAGATGCAGGATCCAAATTGACAGATATCACTGCACAACTGGAGAAAATATTGAAAAACTATTGGATCTTCTATTAGCAGACCGGAGATTAACTATCCGGTAGATTACTGTTACTATAGGCATCTCATGTGAACGAGACATGAGATGCCATATGAAACATAATCAATGAATTTCGATAGTCTGCGAATTGTTGGAGATGTTAGAATTTGCTCCATAACATTTTTTGATAGATGCGGTCATGAATGGGACATTGTTGCATCATTATAACGTCAATAGCAACAATTTAAGCAGTGAAAAAATTCTAGCGAACGGAGTCTATATAAAACGTAGGCAATTATGTCGGCTGGCATAGTCAACTTCATTTTTTCGAGATGCTAAGGGATCTTGATGGACTACCTATACAACCATGGTAAGGCCACGCAACAGTTATCGCTGATGCACGAATGGGCAGGTCCAACCGAGGAAGTACCACGACCTCATAGAAAACCTGCGTGTTCTACTTTTCGCCTGATTAGTGGGGTAACCGGTACTTTACTAAAAGGTGGAAACGCATCTGCAACCCTTCGGTTGTTGCAAATGTCCATTGGCGGCGGTTATCAGTTAAGATCAGGTGAACCACCACCTTTTCTCACAAAATAAAACCTTGCAAAAGACGAATCAAAATTTCGACCCTTTTTGAGTCATTCAAATTAATGAGCAATGCACGTAAAGAATGTGTTGTTTCATCAGGACCATGAATTATTTTTCTTATTTGTGAGTCTGTTTTAACTTTTTTGACTAGGCGTTAACTTTTCAACTCACCCTCCTATGATTCAGCCCACCGACTCATAAGTAACCGAGAGATAAGTTTGTCGTATTCTAGTTACTTGGACTTTCGGATCTCGCGTATTCTACCATCGGGCTGATCAAACTCCAATGGACGGCAATATTAACACTATGTAAATAATACATAATTGTGCGGCGCCTTCACACGCCTTACAAGTTTCGATTTCGAAATTCGATCCAATAATATTTGTTAAATGGTTATCTTAGCTAGTTCTTACAACTTAGATTTTTCATTCTTTAACTATTTTAATCACATATTTTGCACCTTATCCATAAATATTTACCCCGGTTATCTCATACACTCGGTGAAAGGTAGAAGTATATTAAATAGGTACTTCTAATTTACGTCGGTCTCTTGTGCCGTGAAACTTTCTGCGACCAATTTGTGCAACAAAGCGTAGCAGCAATACGTAAAAAAAGCAACACGTAGCAACGTAGCTCTACAACTGTTAGTATTAAAAAACAATAATAAAACAGATAGGCAATTTAATCCGTAAATGTTAAACATTATCCTAGACATGTATCCAAACGATGTACAGCACATTCGTGGCCGAAATCCGCCACTCAAAACTCCAGTGTTGTTTATACTAACCGGTCCAGAATTAAGGTGAAAGCTGTTTGTTTTTCATTCGTAGACTCAGTTAAGCCATGCGGTGGCATCTGGACCACGACGTCTTTGTATAATACATCTCTCATTCTATTTCAATTTCATAAGCCTGAAAAAATTGAACAATCGTACTGCAACAGTAGTAATAGACGATTTGAATATCCACAAGTCCATCCACCAGGATAATAAATGTCTCTGGCGAATAAGCTATTAAGTAATAGCTCCCAGAATTTTTTAATAGGTGTCGTTTTTAGCGAGACTTAAATATAACCTGATCTTGTATCCTCAAAGCTACGCCAGTAGCCCAACATACACCAATTATCTGTTTATCCATTCCGTTGTCTGCCGAATCAAGCCCTGATTTAAGTATTTGAAAGCTGACTGGGCTCATGAAAGAAAATAGTACTGGAATCTGGCCACTTTCTAAATGATTGCTTTCAACGTACCCATAAATAGCCCCATGGAGACGAGGAGAGCTCGATAGAGACGCTGTGAGATCCTGAATAAAATAGAAACAGATCCACGACATCCTATCACTTCACCTATACAATACATACAGCCCCAAGCATTTACAAGTGAGCACAATTCTATTATAGATTTTTCCAGTAGGGATCGAACCCAAGCCCTCTGGCGCAGGAGACAATTGAACTATCCACTACGCATCGGGTCGTTGAGTCTAAATGTTAGTGTACAGCTCGGATAGTGCTTGGGCACCCTATATACTGCAGACAAACCATATTGAGGCCCTGATATTTCATATCCATATATATTTTATGTCAGATGCGCCTTACTTAGGGCCTAAGCGATCTAAGCGGATGGGTCGTGAAATGAAAACACGGTCACAGTTCATACATTTTATTGGCGGCTATGGGTCACTAGGTGTCCCGGCGGTGTTTACCGATTGACATATTAATTTCATTCCGATATCCACATGTGCTCACGGATCGCCAAATGTCCATCAAAGGTCCGAGTTGATATATTTAATTTTGGTCATTTTGCGGCCTTCAGTGCCTCGCAGGCGTCGAGCATCTTGAGGCCCTCCATGATGTAGAGCAGGCTCTCCACGGAGGCGTCTTCGTCGTCGTCGAACCACAGACGCAGCATGCTAGACGCCCTCGCCGCGTCCGTTGCGCTCTCCGTCTCGAAGAACTGCACCTGGGATAAAATTTGCCGGGTTGCGTTGAGGAAATCATTTCACGCATGATGTTGAAATAAAGGTAGTAGTAGAGTGGGTTGGTGAAAATGTTTACGCTAGGAAAGAGCGCTATGAGGAGGTTCCGTACTTATTACCTATAAAAACGGCAAAATAATCTCTTTTTTTTTAATTGTGTTTAGTGTTTGTTGTTACCAGTATAGCGGCAACAGAAATTCATCATCTTATTTCGACTGTCTAAATATCAAGGTTCACGAGATAAAGCCTAACATTATCCCGTGTTATAAGGCCGTTTTACGAACATAAATTTCACGCGGACAAACACCCAGACGCGAAACAACTATCTGTGCGCCACACAAATAGTTGTCCCGTGTGGGGATCGGACGCACGACCCCCGACGCCGAGGCCAATGCCTCGGCAACTGCGCCACGGAGTCATCAACCGTACACCATTTGGGCGCGGAACCCTAAAAAAAGTCACCTCGTCCGGCTTGTAGCCGAGTTTTGTGGCGAGCCGCTTCCAGTCGTCCAGCTTGGCTGCCACGGCGGCCAGCTGCGGCGCGCTGATCATGGTCACGCGCGCGCGGGCCGGCTTCTCCTCCTCGCCGTGCGTGGAGTCCGGCACCTGCGCAGAAGGCCGTTACCGGTAAGCTGTGTGACGTCTTCATCTTCTTCAACGACAATCCGAAAGAGGGATGTCGCCGTATGCTATTTTTTTTTAGAAATTTTTATCCTTTATCGTGCCAATCTCTGCACTTAAAAATTTGAAGAACACGGCGGCGAAAAAAAAGATTTTCGCCAGTGTGGCTATCAGCCGTTTGGCTTTGTGGCTAAAGCGTCAGGGCGCGAATCCCGAAGACGTGGGTTCGATTCCCAAAGAAGCGGAAGAAAACTTTTTATTTTTTATTTGAAAAAAAAATTAAAATTTCATTAATTTTGATCAAGAATTGTGGCTGTTATGGTGTTACAACAAAACAAAAACACTTTTAAGAAATAATAACAAAGATGATTTGTTTTCCATTTATGTATTTTGCTGACTACATGATGAATTTATGCTGTTGCTGAGCTATTGGCCTCGGCGCCAGGGGGTGTAGGTTCGATTCCCGCACGGTGCATTTGTGTGACCCGGCTGTATGTTCTTGTGTGTTTCGTCGCTGGTTGGTGGTTTCCAAGGAGGGTTGACTATTAGGCAGGCAGCCCGTGGTAAGGAACCTAGATAACACCATTTACAACCTGACTCATGTTGTTCCAGCCACAAGTGGGAAGAGGGATAAGGCAGAAGAAAAAAGATTTGTTCACTTCATACATACAGATATTCCTTTGTATGGGTGTCGATAAGAATAATGATGTCGATAATGAATAAGGATGTCGACAATATATAATCAATAATAATCATTGTGGACGCCCTGTACAAACGTAATATAGTCTTAGTACTAGCTTGTCGAGAATAATACTGATGCAATATTCATAACCCACATGCATGTATGAATCGATGTATGGATGTGGATGAGGCAAAAGTGTACAGGGATCCTGGAAAGTCCGTAACTCTGCTTAACCCTTGTAAATTTGTATGTAGTTATGTACGTATGTACGTATTGGAAAATTAAAAACCCATTAACCTGTTCAATATCATTTGTATCAGCTCCCTTAATGAGATCCGCTTCCATTTGTTCCTCGGTGATCTCTTCTTCTACTTGGTCCTGAAATAAAAAAAACAAAAAATAAATATAGAGAGAGGAATTAGGAAGAGATTGCGATCAAATCTCACAAATTGAAAAATGTAAAGTAACAAACTACACTTAGATATGTCCCACTGGTGGGCAAAGGGCTACCATGTAGAGGGTATTAGGGCATAGTCCACCATGCGACCCCGTAGTATTGGTAGAATTCTAATACATATACCGAAATATCTCATACATCATACTAACTTATACATACACAAAAAATAAGAAGTGTAAAATGTACTCTTCTCACATGTATGAAGTTTTTTTTGTTATTATTTCGAATATATGCAGCTTTCCTCGTGATGTTTTCCGCTGCAGAAGACGTGATAAATCCGCGCTTAAAATCAACAATATCTTTGGTGCACATTGTTATTTTACAGTGGTTAAAATTAACCATTTCTTTATCGGTAATTGAACTCAGGTTAATCGAGTATATCTTCTTCTAATATATAAAATTCTCGTGTCACGGTGTTTGTAATTGAACTCCTTCGAAACGGCTCTACAGATTTTCGTGCAATTTTGTGTGCATACCGGCCAGGGTAGAGAATCGGACCACGTCTATTTTTCATCCCATTAAATGTTAAGGGTGGTCCACCACAAACATTTTTTTCTACCCTACAAATAATTTATATGGCGAAACAACGTTTGCCGGGTCAGCTAGTTATTTATATTAGCTATCAAGCTAGCTTGAGTATATTAGCTATCAATTATATATAAAATATAATTGACAGCTAGCACCCGGACAATAGGTATCATGGCATTACCCTACTGTTGCACAAAATTGTTTGACTGTGGTAGGGCCAAACAACAGAGTTCACGGTTGCCCGAATGGGCAGGTCCGTCCGGGTAAGTACCACAACCTCACAGAAGACCGGCGTAAAGTAGAAGTATTCTGCGTTCCGTCTCTGAGGTAGCCGGGGCTCACTTTATTTAAAGGTGGCAACGCTTTTGCAACCCTACGAGTGTTGCAAATGTCCATGGGCGGCGGGTAACATCAGGTGAACCGCCAGTTCGTTTGCCACTTTTTCACATAAAAAAAATGTTCATAAGCTGAAAGATAATACGTGCCTGTTTGTTTGTTTTGTCGCTGTGGTTGTTGGAGGCCTCTCCGTTGGCGCTGTTCGCGTTCGCTGCGTTCGCGGCCATCTCGCGGGTGACCCTTTTGACCTGAAAGCGAAATCGTCGAGTTCTATTAAGATCACTAATTCTGTCGATGAATCGGTTATGACTTTTCTTAATTTTGTGAGTTCAATAAAATCTTGAAATATTTTAATAACAATATATGATTGATTTTGTATAGAGTTTTTTTTATAGCGCTGATCTTATGTACTTAGGATGGAACATTCCATAGCAAAGGCGACATCTCTTAATCCACTTATAGTTTTAAATTGTTTATGTGTTGTAAATGATATGACAATAGATGCGGCAAGCGTTGCTTAAAATGCAATAAAACTATGTATACAAAAAACGTTGACGTTTTCGTCGGTGCGGCAATCAGCCGTTTGGCTATATGGTTAAAGCGTCTGGCCGCGGCTCCGCAAGACATGGGTTCAATTCCCGCTGCGGGGCAAAAAACTCTTCCGCCGTTTTTCAATAAATTTTCGTATTCTTCTTTCCGTCTCCATTTTTTAAAAAACATTCCCCTTGTTTTAAGATAACATAATCCTGTGTTGTAAGGACGTTTTACAAAAATAAATTTCACGCGGACAAGCGCCCAGAATGCGAAACAATTATCTGTGGGTACACACAAAAAGTTGTTCCGCGTGGGAATCGAGCCCACGACCCCCGACGCCGAAGCCGATACCTTGGCAACTGCGCCACGGAGTCCTCATGTATTATGTATGTATTTTATTGGATCCCCCCACCCCCCCTCCCCCGCCCCTCGCCCCGCTTAGGAGCCGCCTAGGGCAGCGGCCGAGGGCGCACCCACCATGTCGTCCAGGTAGTCGGGCAGGCGGCCGATGGGGTTGTTGGTGTGCACGAAGAAGTGTGGCGACCTGCGCGCCAGGAGGCGCAGCGCGCGCCAGCCCCAGCCGCCGCTGCTCGTGCGCCGCGCGCCGCCCCCCGCGCCGCACACCATGTACGACTCTGCGCCACACAATCTCATGCAACTCCATACAATTTCATACAGACCCATGTCACAATCGAATCCCTGCAACTGATGCTTCTCTCACGCAGTCATAGCCTCTCCGCAAACACCATATACGACTCTGCGCCACACAATCTCATGCAACTCCATACAATTTCATACAGACCCATGTCACAATCGAATCCATGCAACTGATGCTTCTCTCACGCGGTCATAGCCTCTCCGCAAACACCATGTACGACTCTGCGCCACACAATCTCATGCAACTTCATACAATTTCATACAGACCACTGTCACAATCCAATCCTTGCAACTGATGCTTCTCTCACGCGGTCATAGCCTCTCCGCAAACACCATGTACGACTCTGCGCCACACAATCTCATGCAACTTCATACAATTTCATACAGACCCATGTCACAATCGAATCCCTGCAACTGATGCTTCTCTCACGCAGTCATAGCCTCTCCGCAAACACCATGTACGACTCTGCGCCACACAATCTCATGCAACTTCATACAATTTCATACAGACCACTGTCACAATCCAATCCTTGCAACTGATGCTTCTCTCACGCGGTCATAGCCTCTCCGCAAACACCATGTGCGAGTCTGCACCGTAAAATCTCATGCAACTTCAACTTATCTTACCCAAGTTGATGCAAATGATGTATCTCATGTACACTATGTACGTCCATATACATCCGCGCCATACAACTTCATAAAAATTCATGTCACATTCAACTGATGCAACTGATGCATGTCTCACTCGATCATACCCCTGCGCCGTACACAATGGTCGTACAATGTGTACGGCGCAGGGGTGTGCCATACAATGTCATAGAAATTAATATCTTATTCAGGTTGCTACAACTGATTCATCTCACACTCGGTCACTTACTCATGGAAATCTTGAAGGTACACTATTTCGAAGGTGCATTGCCAACCTTCAAAGTGAACCCGATTTGTTCACCCACCAGATGCACACAAAGGTTTTCTGTGAGGTACTTCCCTCCCTGTGCAGTCTTGACGATGATGGGCAGACTTATCCAAAGTCTACCCATTCATGCAAAAGCAGAAACAACTATTACTGAACAAATTGTAACACATAGTATTAATAATCATATAAGTTGCTCTCCATTTTTTTTTCATTATCTCGACAAAAATCAGAACAGTTTGTTCCAGTAAGTTTATAATTCAGTACCAAAAATTTAATAACCAACCCAGTGATGGCATAAAATCTCTCTCCTTGGTTCTGCATGCCACTAGATTATCTGGGCATAAATTCCATAATTTTGTGAGTTCATTACTGAAACAAAAATAAAGCTTATTTTATGCAGGAAATTTTATTTACCAATATGTAGCATTAGGGTTGCAAATTTTTTTGTAGTGTTGTTCTTTAATATTAGAAAACTATAAACATGTACTTACTTGCCCATGTAGAATTTTTCTTGACCCTCATATTCTTTTATTATATCACCCACGGGTCTTCTCCGCTTTCTGGTCTTCTTTACTTCCTCATTGGAATCAACCGTTACAGGTGGTTTTGGTTTTTGGAATTCTAAAATGATGAAATGTATTTATATTTATACAAGTAATAAAACGCTTTTCATCTGTTTATTTTTGCTATGAAACATTATGCGAAAAGGCTGAACTAATTTTACATTGATTCTAATATGTTATAAATAAAGGGGCTAACTTTATAGCGGTTCGACAAATAGATGGTAGGTCACTTCTTTCTTTATAAAGCAAGTAGTAGTAGTATCTTGAAAAATTAATAGACGAAAGTAAAATACGTAAATCGCGCGGCTAAGCCATTTGGGCTGTAAGCTTTCTGCTGTAAATTTAATCATTCAATCAATTTTCTATCATTTGTATCAAGGTCTTACACTACAAAATTTTGGTAATCTCAACCCCTCATTTCAAACAAGCAATGGCTGGAAGATTTATTATAGTTTCCTTTTGTTTTGAAAGTTAAGTAAGGTTTATTGCAAATTTGTCACATTGTCTTTAAATTAGAAATAATTTAATTTATGAAATATTTATGTGAGTTAGGCATTTCTCCTAAACAATATTAATAATATTTGATATTACACATTTAGGATACAAAAAAGAAATATGTTACATGTTAGATGCCATATGGGATTTTTATGGACAAAGTTTCGGTTATAAGCATGTGTGTAGATAAATATATTTAGCTAAATAAAGTCTCGCGATACAATCAATGGATTTTTAATGTCACTTTTAAAGTTCAAATTTCTTGAAAATACTTATTAATAGAGATCATGGTCATTACCTGGACACCCATCATTTTTCCAGCTATTCCAATACTCTTCCCTGCGTAAAATACACTTGACACATTCTGCAAAATTCTTGCCGTCAGGTGGAGTTTCACTGAGCAAACGGTAAACTAATGCTGTTGTTTCTTTAACCCAATCGGTTTGATCTGATTTAAGTTCTTGTGTCTCCCTGAAATATGCATAAGAATTATTATGAACAAAATAACACCTAACACCTGCTGTGATTTTGCACATCAACATTAAAATACAGTACAGGCATCCTAAAGATCGCGATGAAAAATTGAAATGTAAAATATTCCACAGGTATAAAAAACAGCCAATTGTGACGCTATCACATGAATGGTATTCTATGAAGTAAACAATTACTAATCATTTTTATGAGAGTAGGTGACAATCAAGCTTGCACTTGTAAGCTATGGACAACCGCAACACCACTAGTTTTCCAGTTGCTTGCAAAATTTTAAGACGGTCTTCTGCAATCCATAACATATCCCATACCAGCCAGAGTAGTTAATTATAGACACTTACATTTTAAATTTCACAGCTGATGTCAAATATTGGAACAATATCAAAAATTGTATAAGCACACATCTTCTGAAATTAGAATCCGATAGCTGTAGTTCGAGTAGTTTCTGATTGGTAAGGAACTTAGCAAAATAGTGCTGCTCCTTATTTGACTCTTGCATCTCAATATCCGCATTGACAGTCTTTAGCCTATTTAGTTTTGACTTCTGCAGTTCTATTGCTTCTAATTTGTATGAAGAGAATGCAGAAAGCACACTTCCAGAATGCTAAAATAAAAAGCAAATAAAAATATAACCTCTCATGTCTTTTGCTATACCAAAACATGACAGCAGTTAACAGCCAAAAAGCAACAAGGCAAAACTGCCAAAGAGTTTATACACATATACATGTTCTATGCCATGCAGCCATACTGGCTGGCAATAGAATAACATGAACTTGTAATGCAAGTCATGAACATGTTAATAATTATACAACATAGTTAAACCAGCTGAGTAAATATTGTACTAACTCCTTGACATAACACCGTCATTATATAAGGATTTATTTAATAGATTACAAACAAAATATCACAGTCTCATAATTTATTATTCAGAATCTTTAAGGTTTTTTTAAGTCTCATCATATATGACAGGCTATTTTCATATTCTGATAGACTTTTACTCATTTTATGAAGGTTATTATAAAACCAAGAATTCTGTATCTGTAAATGGAAATCTTTTAAAATGTAAATAAAAATATCACATGTTGCAAAATTCTTTTAACAATGTTTACAATTAATATTACAGTCAAATTCTATTCTAATAAAATTTTTGACTACTTTTTAAGGCATTTTTTCTATACCTCTGCTTTAGACTCCCTCCATTACTACATAGTATAAAACAAAGTTGTCCCGCTGTCTGTCTGTCCCTATGTATGCTTAAAAACTATGCAACAGATCTTGATGCGGGAATTTATTACCAGATAGAGTGATTCAAGAGGAAGGTTTATATGTATAATATATTGCACGTTTGCGAAGCCTGGGCGAGTCGCTAGTTAATCTATAAATTTAGTTGTTTGAGGTGTAAGAATTTAATGTGGATATGATGTTTATTTCTACTGTTTTCAGGTGTTGTTTGTGATAAATTGTAAACTTACCGCAACAAATGTTTTCCATTGTATTTTATTGTAACAAGTATTGGGGTTTCTGAAAAAATCTTGTAAACTCCAAAATCTGCAATACAAGTTATAATCTATTGACAGTTTACTTTTTTCATCATCCACTATCATTTCTTCATCTAAAGAATCTTTAAGTGTACTTGAATTATCACCACCAAATTCCGTAATATTTTCTAAATTAAATTCAGAAACAATGTTGAGTCCTGATCTTTCCGAGAATGGAAAGAACTTTGCCAGAAACAAAAGTATTCTTCCACAAAAAACAGTATTTTGCGAACGGGATAATCGTCGTAAGAGATCATTGCACATTCTTAGTAGGTTGTTTTTGCAAGCAACAAAAAATAACTCTTCTTTCCATATATTCACTCCATTTTCGACGTATGCGAACATTTTCTCACATTTATTCAACGTTAAAGCGTCGAAGATATCTCCCAGTAGTACCACTGGCATTGTTGGTGTAACCATTTGTCTCCTACATGATTCTATACAGAAAGAAACGTAGTTTTCCAAAATATCAGGATTCTCAACCAGAAGCTCCAAAAGTTTATCCCGAAAGGCTTGATCCATTGCCGCCTTTCTATCCACATCATTTGTATTTCTTGAAAACGAGTCTAGGAGGTCAATGTTGTTTGTAGAAAATGCTTTAGACAATATGTCCTAGAAAGAACAGAACATAAGCAAATAACGTAAAACTTATAAAAAATAAACAAATTTGTATAGGTTAGAAATATACCTTGTACTTTGATCGGAGTTCCTCAAAACCCAATTTATCGGCCATGATTCGATTTTTTTTATTCCTGAGTTTGATATTTACATTTAAAAATATATGCTTTAATGTTTTTATTTTAAATGATTGTTACAGTTTAAAACTTTTTACTACCCGACAACAAACTAAAATGAAAGCGCCGCCATTTTTGACAGCATAGATAAGATATATTTTGACAGGTATCAGTGCCTAGTGCTGCCAGATACAGAAAACTATTTGGCACTTACATTTAACATAAACTAAGAAAGTGTACGAAAAAACACATTAACGCCCGGTTTCTGAAACACTGATCATCGTAGAAGTTAATTAGTCAGTATTGAATGGTAGATGTGGCTAATGGGATCACTTTCAAGCCAAAAAGACACTTATGGACTGATAAAAAAAACTATTTATTTCAACTTTAACATTTTGAACATATTTTTGATGGAACCTAATCATATGAAATATAATCATTATGAAATTTATATAAAATACAAGAGTTATGTCATATGCCTATACATGTTACTTCTCCAAACGATTTTAACGGAATCAATCAAATATGACACAATTCAGTCTGAACAAATAAAACTAACATTCCAAATTTAATTTAAAGTAATTCAAACATAATACATAAACCAAAAAGATCAGAGGTGACATCAAAAAAGTATTTATAATCTGAGATTACCAACCAACAGTCAGTTGTCAAATGACTTTTCAAATGTTATTTGAACTGCCAAAAGGATTGTTAAATTCTTTAAATTGATCATTCTGAGTATTAAGAAGATTATTCTGACCACATTATTAGTAGTATTACTATTTATTTTTTCGCGCATACTCCAACAACTAGTATGAATCCAAAGACATCTCATGTCTTGAAAATCACTGCCCAACAATGAGTCACCTCTCCTCTTGGACAAGGTGACAGAAGCACGATTACGTTAACGTCCGCCGATGTCTCACCGCATGCACACAATAGCAATACATACATTAACAAACACAGCATGGCTCAGCGTACTCAACGGTGAGTGTGAGTTCCCAAATTCGCAGCCTACAAACATACGACACTCATGTGCCTAGCCACTTTTAAATAGTTAACGTCGCGTTGTTATTGTTACTTAATGGCAAATCTATCGTTCATTTGTTACGAAAAGTTTTAAAAGTAAACTTTTTATTTTTGGAGCTTGAATGTTTCGCGAATTAGTTATTTTTGTTAACATTGTATTAACAATTCGCTTGACGTCGGTATCTCTCGTGTTTAATCCACAATTTCCCAATTGCAATGCACCCTATTCCTTCGTCCAATTTTCCACTATCGATTGCTATCCAAGCCGGTACAAACTGTTGGAGTTAATACATATAGAAACTCATTAACAAAAAAAATAAACATAGACATAGTGACAATAAGTGTCTTGGCTTATGAAAAATAAATCGGACAGTTCGTGAAGTAAAAATAAAATAGAAAAAAACTGTGATTTCGATAAAATTCTAAAACATCCGCGTAATAAATTCTACATTATAAAAGTGTGTTAGTATATTATTTCGTAACTGCCTGCGCTTTGCAATTTAAAGATCTCTGTAAGACCGAGAAAGACTCTGGTGGCTGAATTGGCGGCTTATCAACAACAGAAAGATAAGTTTGATAAAGCTGATGCCAGTGCTATCTTAATACTTACCACCAATATGCAAGAAGACACACTTCGAAAAGTTATGCGGTTCACTAAACCTGATGTCTGGTTAGAGCTCCACAGGCTGTTCGACGGAACAAATGAGGATAAAACCTACAACCTGTGTATGAGTTTCTTCAGCTTTAAGAAGGATCAAGCAGACGACATTGCCACCCACATGTCAAAATTAAAGAACACCTGGACTGAAATTAATCAAGAACTCAAGAAGGACAGTAACCAAGAGCTACCCGAACTGCTACTTGTTTGTAAAATACTGGACACGCTTGACGATTCATACTTCAGCTTCAGAAGTAGATGGCTCCTCCTGCCCAAATCCAACCGTACCGTAGAAAGCGTAACAACGCACCTTCGCATCAATCGGAAGCCCTGGTTTCGAATACGGAGAAGAAGGACAAGAAGCTTAAATGCAACTACTGCCTAGGTATTGGCCATAGCGTACGCAACTGTCAAAAATGGATCCGTGACGGTAGACCTCCTAAGAGCCAAAATTCGACCCAGACAGCACCGCCTTCTACTTCAAAAACCGCTAACTTGTTACTCATGTCTTTAGAAGACAGCGAAATCTTCACAGTTTCATGGAACAATGAGAGCTGGTACATTGATAATGGCGCAACAAGCCATGTCACCAACAGAGCTGACATTTTCCAAACCTACGAACATTTCAATCAGAACTACACTGTTACAACGGCCGCTAACGTAATAAAGTCCGTGCCAAAGGCAAAGGAACAGTACAGCTCGAGAGGATATGTTAACGGGAAACAAATCGACATCAGCCTGCAAGACGTCTGGTACGTTCCGGCCATAAGCAAGAACCTCTTCTCCGTACTCGCACTTCACGACCGAGTCCCGAATAGCACCTTTTCATCCAGGACAACTGAATGCAACGTCATTGTCAACGGAAAAGTGTGCTTAATAGGGAAGAGACAAAAACAAGGTGGCTTATATCGACTGGAAGTAAAACACGTACTGCCAGAAACACCACCCGAAGTATTTGCAACTACAGCAATGATGCAACTGTACCACGAGAGACTCGCTCACCAAAATTAAAGACACGTAAGAGCGACGATCCAACGGGAACTAACTACTCTTAACCTGCCGATGGATAAAGAGACCTGTGAAGGCTGCATCTTTGGAAAGGCGCATCGACTTAAATTCGGTACAAGAACTCGAGCTACCGCGCCTGGAGAAATCGTACACGCTGACGTTTGTGGACCGTTTCAACCTAGCTTCTCAAACTATCAGTACTACGTTTTGTTTAAAGACGACTACTGGCTACCGTATGGTGTACTTTATGCGCAAGAAGTCCGAGGTCAAAGACAATTTAGTTTTGATGATCGCTCAAACTAAAACTGTCGCACACACCATAAAATGCCTTTTGAGTGACAACGGTGGCGAATTTGATAATGCGTCCATAAAAAGTGTTTTAGACACTCATGGAATAATACAGCGACTCGTCACCCCGTATACACCGGAACAAAACGGAGTAAGCGAAAGGGATAACAGAACCCTAGTTGAGACAGGCAGATCGATGATGTATGCTCATGAGCCATTACCACAAGTGCTTTGGGCAGAGCTCATTAATACCACGGCATACATTCTGAACAGAACAGGCCCCACAAGTTCAGATAAGAAATCTCCGTATGAACTTTGGTATGGAAGGAAATCTAATATTAAACATCTCCGAATAATAGGCTCAACCGCATACGTCCATATCCCAAAGCAGAAGCGTAGAAAACTCGACAAAAAGGCGATAAAAGGTCGACTTATTGGGTACGATGAAGATTGTTACCGTATCTGGGTCACAGATGGAAAACACTCGACGATCGTCCGCTCTCGTGACGTAATCTTCGATGAGAAACTTCTTCCGATCTATAATAGTGAAATTCCTAAAACAGAAGTTGAGACGAGAGAATACCCGTTTTCCATAACGCCCAACACGAACTTAGAAAGAGAAGTTGCAGCTCCAGAGCAAACTCACGTTCACGAGGGAGATACACCCGAACCAATCTCCAACGACCATGATCATGTTCTCGAGGGAGAAGAATCGGATCAAGTCCTCCACGAAGACCATGACCATGAAGAAGAAACCACAGTTCCAGAAGAGTTTTACGAATCACTGAAATGTATCACTGAAACATTCCCAAATAATTTCGCAGACGATATGAAAAGGGACGATCGCGAAGAATGGCAAAGGGCAATGGATAGCGAATTGAAATCCTTCGAACACCAGAACGTTTGGACGCCATGTGCACTGCCAAAAGGAAGAAAAGCACTTCCCTGCAAATGGGTTTTACGGATCAAACGAAATCCAGATGGCACGATCGACAAATACAAGGCTCAACTTGTCGTAAAGGGGTACAGACAAGGGAAAGGAGTAGACTATGACCAGACCTTCAGTCCTGTGGCACGCCTGGCTACTGTACGAGCATTACTCAGTGTTAGTGCGCAGGAAAACTTCCACCTGGTCCAATTCGACGTCTGCACAGCCTTTCTGAACGGAAAGCTCGAGGAAGAAATATTCGTTCAACCGCCAGAAGGGTGCATCCTCACGGAAGGAACGGCTACGTCTACCGTTTTCAAGCTTAACCGTATGGACTTAAACAAGCAAAAAGGTGCTGGAACTCTTGCTTTCAAGAGATCCTATTGGATATGACCTTCAAACAGTCCGAAGCTGATTGCTGCTTATATTCAAGAGAAGTAAACGGAAAGAAACTACTGATCACGTTGTACGTCGATGACGGATTAGTAGCTGCCACTGATGAAGACACAGCTAACGCCTTTTTAGAAGATTTTAAGAAGAAACTGCGCATAACGACGAAACCAGCGACATATTATCTTGGTCTTCAAATCCATCGAGGAAAGAATGGCACCATCTTCATCAACCAAGAGGCATACGCGAAAAAGGTATTAGACCGCTTTCAAATGAGTGACTGCAATCCCGTTTTTACACCGATTGAGAGAGAGACTCTTCAAGAAGGGAAAGAAGAAGCGGAAGATTCCTGTTTCCCATATAGAGAAGCTGTCGGTGCTCTGGCATACTTAATGGTTGGTACTCGGCCTGACATTGCTTATGCCATCGGAGTTGTCTCAAGAAAGTTGGAGAAACCTGCAAAGACAGATTGGCTCAAGGTAAAACGTATCTTGCGCTACATCAAAGGTACCATTTCGCATGGGATCTCCTATAAGGCTGGTCTCAAACCTGGAATCCTAGAAGGATTTAGCGACGCCGACCACGGAGGTGATCCAGAAACTGGACGTTATACACGACAGGAGTGATCTGCCGCTATTCTGGAGGCACAGTTTCATGGATCAGCCAGCGACAAACATCGGTCGCTATCTCCACTACAGAAGCCGAAATTGTGGCAGTCAGTGAAGCCGGCAGAGAACTAATGTGGCTTGCTAGAATATACCAGGCATTGACTACAATTGCGGGCCTACCGGTCCTGCATGTGGACAATGAAGCTGCTGTTCGTCTTGCTCACAATCCCGAGTTTCACAAGAGAACTAAGCATATCCGGCTCAGACATTTCTACGTCAGAGAATTGGTAACTGAAGGTATCTGCAACGTTCTAAGGATCGGAACAGAGGATCAAGTTGCAGACATCCTCACCAAAGCACTACCTCGTCCGTCATATGCAGTTCTACGCCAGGCGCTAGGATTGTGTACTATGTAAATGTTTAGGGAAAGTGTTGGAGTTAATACATTTAGAAACTCATTAACAAAAAAAATAAACATAGACGTAGTGACAATAAGTGTCTTGACTTATGAAAAATAAATCGGACAGTTCGTGAAGTAAAAATAAAATAGAAAAAAACTGTGATTTCGATAAAATTCTAAAAGATCCGCGTAATAAATTCTACATTATAAAAGTGTGTTAGTATATTATTTCGTAACTGCCTGCGCTTTGCAATTTAAAGATCTCTGTAAGACCGAGAAAGACTCTGGTAAGATCTTTAAATCATATCACAAACTCCATGTCCTTGGATCGTGTCGTACCAACTACTAACTTTTAATTATCAAGAAATTTTAGTAATAGGCCTAATTTTAGCCCTCTTTGATGACTAAATCTAAACCTTTAAACGCGCAATTCTTGTTTATAATCTATATCCTGAAACTTGGAAACGGCTCCAACAATTTTCATGAAGTTCATCATGCCCAGGGTGCCGGAGGCGATAAATTCATCGGGCTAGGTTTCATTTTTAAAAAGCGTCCTTTTATCCGTGTTTTCAGGCAATGAAAAATATCATTAGAATACGAAGGTAAATTTCGCTATTGTCTACAAGGGTATAATAGCTCGGACGGTGGTTTGGCGGCACCGAAACCACAAGACCTCAGTCCGAGTACAGATGATTATTTCCTTTTTTTCAAGCCCAGATGATTCTATTTCTTTTTCCCTTTTTTTAAGTTTTTTCAAAAAATCCAGATCATCATTCATCATCAGGTCATCCAGATACCAACTATTCCACTCTGCAGCTTGCTTTTCATATTGATTAAAAACAATGGATAACGTGGAAAATAATACATATAATTGGAAGATTTTTCATTGAGAAGTGATATAAAGTAAAATAATTTCCCCCTAATATATTTGTTAATTAGAACGTGTCCAAACTCACTTAGAAGGTTGAAAATTGTATTTCTCTTTCTGTTCTATTTACTGTGTCTTATTGGTGCTAATGTAACTGAGAGGTTTTACGTAAACGTAGTTTTCACCTCTCGTTGGTTAATATTATAGACCAAACCTACATCAACCAATAGAAAAAGCCCGCGGAAAGGCATCAGTGCAATTGTTGACAATTTGACATCTATGTATCTATGTCATCTTATGTTGTCGTGTCTACTGTCTCCTATGTAGCGTCCTGTCCTCTCTGTCTAGATATTTATCATTCTAAAAAAATAATTTTGTTTCTATTTTAAAGTTTTGTATAATTAAGTATAATTTACATGTTACTTAATAGGTGAAGTTAGAGTTAAATTATAAGAAGAGAAGGTAGGGACGGAGTCTTCCACAATTTAACATGGATAGAAATATGAGGTAAGGTGCTTTATTGTCCTTTCGCTTACAAATGTACACTTTCACATCTAATGCTAAAATATTGCAAAACCAATAAACGATGACGATCATTTTATTTTATCAGTTATGCCAACAAATTTAGAATGGCTCATTTATTTGTATAGATAACCCAGATTTTTGTTTTTATTGTATTTGTTTGACACATTATCGAGCATCAGTTTAATCGCTGCCTGCTTTGCTAGTGTTTTCCGACTTCCTGATAATATTTCATATAGCGTTTAATAATACCTTCCATGTTTTTCATCTTTTGACTGCTTCACATATGTTTATATATAAATAACTAATATATTTAAGGTAATATATTTACCTATAACCTATATTACCGTGAAACATATATATATATATATATATAAATACTATACTGACCCAAATACTGACAACGGGTCAATATCATTATAATCATCAAAACTGAGATATATCTTGGTGCATGATTTTCATTGCTGTCCTTTTGAGTAGAAAGCAGTATCAGCAAAAGTTTTATTTATTATTTCAGGTAATAAAATCATTATATTTTAAAAATTTAACTAAATATCCTCGCAATAAAAACAAATATTTTAGGACATATATTTACACAAAGGTTATCTAGTCTCAAACTAAGCGGCGCTTCTGCTATGGACACAGATAACTGATAAACATATGTTGACATATTTTTCTTGAAAATAAATATTTATCATAGATATAAAAACACAGACATTAAAAAAACATAATGTTATTAACACAATATTCTTCCAGTTTTGGGGGTTGAATCCACACCCTTTAGCACAAGAGACAGGGTTATAAACTATTTGTGATTGTGTTATACTCAAACTTTATAGATAAGTACTGAATACTGAACATCCATTGATATGTTTATTGGATGTCATTTTGTTATTTTTTTATGTGATGACCCATTTAAGCAACTTTATATTTAGTTATCAATTTATTAAAATTCAGATCAAGTTATGTGAGCAGTGGCCCAAGGTCTTTGCCTCACATGGGTGGTGGTAAACGGCAGAACTCCAATGGCAATCACAACAGTGCCCGGTTGAGCCCACCAGCACAGATCCCCCCAGGACAGTTGCTCAACAACAACAATAACAATAATCAACATGATGATCTCATTAATTATATCTATGAATCTTGGAATAAGGTATGTATTAACAATTATTAAGTAGTAAGTCATGTGTAATCAAGTGAAACACAAACATTAAGATGGTATTGTACACAAAGGAAATCAATAATATGGGGTTCATTAAGGCAAACCATGTTCAGACAAACCTATACAAGTAATACACATGAGTGGTTGCACGATATGCATACCAAAAAGTTAATGTAATAAAAAAAATTCTATCTGTTTATGGCATGGCGGCTAATCTCCAAAATGGCTGCACCAATTAAAACAGGACTCTCATTGGCAGATAGCTGAAATCTTAGTCTACTTGGAATGATTAAGTATAGGAAAACAATTAGGGTTCCACTCAAAAAAATGAAAGCCCATAAAATTGTAAACAAAATAGGTGTTGTTAAATCATCAAAACCATTTGATTAACACTTAATCACTCAATTTGTGAGTTAAGGTCATTCAATTTACATTGTGTATATGCTACCAAAATTTGTGTTAGCAAATGAACGATGAAAAGTTTCACATGGACAAAGTCTCAGGTAGAAGCTAGTCTGTATTATTTGTTTATATTAAGATTAAACTTTTATGTACTTTAGTTTTAAATGCCTTAATAACAATGATTTTTATATTGTAAAGTATAAAAAATAATTTCTTTACTTGTTTACTGTTTAACTTTTTTTAACCAAAAATAATGTTATCGCGATCATTTACTGCAAGTTCTTCAGATGCAAGTCCGGCATTCCAACCACCAACAACTTTGTCAATTGGAATTAAATTGAATTACAATACAATTGTCTGTTTTATTGAATTACAATACAGCAGGATATACATATTTCTTACATACTAAAATCAATTTCCCTCAACTTGCAGGTCACACGGGAGTTAGAAAGGGGTAGTGAAGACGCAAAGTACTACCAGGAAGTATTGACGCCTCGGCAGCTAGCCAACTTCAGACCGTTCAACTTGGAGGAGTGGTGGGGACGGCGGCTTGTGCAGACTCTAAATCGCAACAAGCACCGATCTTAGTTACAGCCTCCTCAATCCTTTGAGGTACTGTCTCATTGCAACATTATCTGAGTATGAATAAAATCAAATCGATAAACAATATTGTGTGTGTAGAATTTAAGGAAACCATTTACTGGTGTCATACAAAAGTTATTGCGTTTTTGACAAATTTTAGAGAAGAGTCAAGAGTTAATAGACACAGGGTTTGATATGCACCCAGTTATTTACATAAAAGTTTAATGTTTCACTTTGGTAGTATTTTATTGTAAGATTGTATGCCAAAATATTATAACTATACACTAATGTCAATATATATAAAGGTTGTATTTTAGTCCATTCTTTCAGAGTAAACTAAATAAAATTACACTTCTTAATAGTAACTTTTCTATTTCTTAATCAATTATATTGTTGCTTGGAATTTTATTTGGAAATGAAATGTACATGAAACATTTTAATATCTTCTCTATTTCCTCATCAAATATAATAAGTTGTTTGAAATTTTATTTGGCAATGAATTGTAATGAAACATTTTAATTACACCTTAGGAATAAAAATTCCAATGTAAGAATTAACTCTGTGGTTTTCTTTGTGCGATATTGTTTCTGTGCACATAATTAGGCTTTAATATGGCATGTTATTAATTGTGACAGAGAAATTTTAGAGATAAAAAATGTTAAAATTAAAAATTTAGATGTATAAAGTAATTTTTTTAATGTAATAATAAAAGATGTGTGATAGACAGACGGACTGAATGTTAATTCAAAAGTCAATTACTATCACTTCTTTATAAAATAAATAAATTGTGTATGTGCATCAAAAAAAAATATGAAGTATTCATTATACAGTAGCAAAATAATTGTGGTTATAAAAATAATTAGTATTAAAATGTTGCAATGAGATATTAAACCAATAAAAAAGTAATGTATTGACAAATCTTTGAAATCATTGTTCCCTTTCTATAATTTGTTGTTATGAGGAAAGGATATAACAATCGTTTTCAATGGAAATTTTTATGATTAACCAGTAGATTATGCAAATATTATCATTAAAATTCCATTTAATGTGTCTAAAAATTAAGCAATAAATTTGACTATGTAATTTTGTATTGTAAATAATAAACACATACGGCATCAATGTGATATGGTGTATAGACACGTTACATAAAGTCTGGGGATTTTGCGTTGTAAACATATTCAAAGAATGTAGGAGATTACTATGTAGGCGTTGTAACAAATAAGTTAGCATGAATTTCTATTTTTAATTGTAATGTTGTAAGTTGATAATGTGTTAATGAAAATTAGGATCAGCTAGTGTTTTGCGTTTTAATCATGACTCGATTGTATATTAAGTCGTAAGTATTATCGAAGGGCTGTGGGGTCGGAAACAGTTGCGAATTTGTGACCTCCTTGATACAAACTTGTTACAATAAAACAAATGAAAGTAATTGAATAACATTCCATATTTGAATACTGTACTTAGCATTTGCAAAAGGTGTAAGTAAGTTTTGCGGAGCAGTCCTGACGAAGTTTATCAATTTTAATAAATTTTTTACAACAAAAATATTTCATTTACACAAATACATATTGAAAATATTGGCTTGTTTTATTTCTCCCTTAAACTGATGGAAAATTTTAATTTAGTAGATTGACGGCCGTTTTGTGAAACACTGATCATCGTAGATGTCAACTAATCAGCTGTCAAATGGTTTTAAATTTCATTTTAGTTGCCAAAAGGACGGTTAAACTCTGAATTGATCAGAACGATCAATCCAAAGAGTTTAACCATCCTCATCATCATCACTTCATTCGACATCTACGATGATCAGTGTTTCAGAAACCGGGCGTAAGTTGTTACAAAATTGACATTATGTAACTACTAGGTTACGTCCAACTCTATAGACTTCTATCTCTACCCGTATCGTACATCTTTAGCATCAAAGCGGAACAAAGTCGTGCAGTATGGACATGCGTCGTCTATAGTAAAACATCATTGGTTAATATAAAATATATTTGGTTGACTGACGCCCGGTTTCTGAAACACTCCTCGTAGAAGTTAACTAATCAGCTGTCAAATGGCTTTTCAAATTAATGTCATTTGAGTTGCCAAAAGAATGGTTAAACTCTCTGAATTGATCAGAATGATCTTTTTTATAATCATTCTAATCAATTCTGAATGAAATCATACATTGAATGAATTGATCAGAATGATCTTTTTTATGATCATTCTGATCAATTCAGAGATTCTTCTTAATGATTTCTGAACATATTTTCGAAATAATAACAGAAAAAAATATTATTACGTCGGTAATATCGAAAAATATTATGCATATTTCATTACTCAGTAATTTGTATCTAAATGTAATTTCCAAAACACAAGATTTACCAAAAAAAAAAACAGACTGAGCTTTGCTCGGTTTTAAATTACTTTACGTACGAAAATTGTTGGAGCCGTTTCCGAGATTCCGATTATATATATACGTATATATACAATAATTGCTCGTTTAAATGATAAGATTATGCAACTATTTTCAGTTTACGATCACGTTGTATTTAATGAGAGCACTGTGTCATCAAACGGGACGTGGAGCTTTAAGCTGTGGAGTGTTTGTGTACCCGGGCCTCCAGGCTGTGACCGAGCGTCGTCTAATGAGTTTGAGAACATCTAATTTCAGGAGATTACGTCGCTACTTTGTTTTGATGCGGTTACTTAGTGCGATTTTTTTAGAGGTTTCGTTTGTAAAACAATTAATTAATTTATTTTATTTTTATAATTGCATTATTAAAAAAATGTGTACGACCATCCGTCAGTTCCAATTTCAAAATAGCTTGATGTTAAGTTTTTCAAAAGTTATTTTTGTTAAATTTTATATCTAGTGCGTCGGCGTCCTTCATCTTATGATCTTAAAAAAAGTCTTCCCATATGGGTTAAGAAAAGTAAAAGCTTACATTATATGTTCTATTGTCGAATAAAGGCCTCCTATATACGGAGGGTATTATTAGGTCACTGCGGATTTTATTGAAGTCTTCACATATCTTTAATATATCTTTTATTACGATAGTACTAGTGGACCGGGCAGACGTTATCGGATTTAAAGGCCTATTTACACGGTGCAAGTTTCTTGCCTGCTATATACAATTAAATTGAAGCAATAAATGAGTTGCATTGTCTAAACAGCACATAACATTCTTGACTGTTGAACAAGACTTGCTTCAAGTTTTGTTTCAAAACTTTCCTTGGTGTAAACAGCACACACAACAATTTCTTAAGCAATTCTTGTATTCTTTGTCTCTTACTTTGCAAAAATTAGTGCAATGAGTGAGGGTATTTAATCATTGCTGTTCTTTTGAGGATAGAAATATTGAGAAAAGGCCGTAAAAAAAGTTGGATAAAAATATGAATAATAATACATGGATCATAATAAATAAATCTCAATGAAATATATTTAATCAGCATAATCTAACTTGAACACTTATTATTGAGCCATTTTTTTAAAAAAACAGCCCTTTGTAAAACATTCAACACTTGCATGAAAAATTTGTCAACGCAAATACGTGCAATACTTGAAGCAACACGCCAATAAATTGTCCACGCACATACAAGCATGTGTTTAGACAAGGCAAAACTTGAAAGCAATAATCGCCTAGACATAATTGCATTGGTGTAAACAAAAGACCTTTGCAATTATTTCCTGTCAAGACTTGCATACAATAATCGCATTCAATTTTTTTACTATATCTGCGTGTAAACTGTTGCTTACAATTCTTGATGGTCAATTATTGCGTGCAACTTATTGCATTCAATTATTGCTCTTGTATATACAAGAAAATGGCATCATGTAAATGGGCCTTAAGTCGTCGATAAGTTAAATCATTGACTGGACATTGACCTATAAAGGCACGGCAGATATGGCTAATGTTACAAATACGAAATAAATTAACAAAATACTAATGACTGTGGTAGGGTCACGCAACAGTCCTCGCTGTTGCAGGAATGGGCAAGCCCGTTCGGGGAATGACTGGGCAGGCCAGTGCCAGAACGTACAAGACCTCACAGAAGACCGTCACGGAGTGGAAGAGTTATATTTTTGCATTTCATCTGGTGAGTCCTCATTCACGTTTACCTCTAACCCGAGCCACTTTATTAAAAGGCAGCACCGCATCTGCAATCCTAAGGGTGTTGCAAGTGTCCATGGGTGGCGGTTACCACGTGACACCTGGTGAACCGCCAGCTCGTTTTCCACCTTCTCACATAAAGAACAATAACAGGTAATAAATAAATTACTTCCGAAGAAAAGAAGAAGTACAGTTTGTAGCGCAGACTAATGACCTTAACAATAACGAATACCGACCCGGTGATTATGCCCGTAATGTTTAACCGAGGAGCCCGTAAAAAGACAAATGCGCTAATAAAAACGTCCATCGTGGAATTTGTTGATTATTACAAGGGTTCCGCGATTCTTGCGTAATCGTCTTCGAGGCTTCTCGGCGTTTGTAACTTGAGATTAGGAGTATCTTTTAAAGATTTTGCAAATGTTGAGTTGAATTAATTTAATGGAATGGTAAATTACGAGGCTTTAGGAATTGCAATTATGAAAAGATACAAGAGATAACCCTTCACAAAAATACATCACACTTTTACATTTTCATTGTAGTGAGTGAAAATATTTGGAGCTTTTAGTTTTGTTCTCGAAACTGTATTTAATGTTCACCGCTTCAGCCTGTAATACTGGCAAAGTCATATAGTGCTTGCGATATTATTCCAGGCAAACAGACCTCATAGCATAGCTTCGAGATTGTTTTGTTTGTTATAATATGTACGCGAGGTTTAGAACTCCGTGGCACAGTACATTGTACGAGTTTGGAAACTCTGTAGTTGTGCAATTTGGAAACCAGACCTTGTGAAGTTTTATTTTAATGTAGTGTACATACGTATCATGTCATACACCCTACAAAGATACCTCCTTACGTACATACTTTCAATCCCTATTAAAGACATTAATCTAATACCTTTAAACGAGC